GCTGCTGCGAGGGCAGAGCCTGGTGCGAAAGCCCTGTGCGTGCGTCACCCGCTTCTCCGGATGGGCTTTAAGGAGGGCTTGGTGCTGCCCTGCCTTAATTTATAGCTGCGTGCTATACGTCCTTCCTCCTGGGTGGCGTGGGGGTGGTACGGAGAGGTTGATCAGGTAAATAACCCCAGTGTCCTGGTTTCATCTGAAAGCAGTCAGGAGGAAAGGCATGTCTCCTGTGCTGGTGAGGCAGAGCCTGGAATCTCCCCTCCCTGGGGTGGGAGGCAGGGATTTCCCCCCCCTTACGGAGGCGCAGAGGCACTGGTGGGCAGCTGCGGACACTCGCCTGTCCTTTCTGACCACCCCAGCCCCACGGGGGCTGCCGCCGCGGTGGGGATTTGTCCCAAGTGCTTCGGGACACTGGGAGGAATGTGAGCTGGGAGTCCGGGCTCCAGCAGCCTGCGGCTGGAGGGGAATCCCTGGCGAAAAGCCCCATTTGCAGGTGGCCTGCCTGAATCCAGGTTTTACTACTCAGTTTATTTTCTGCTGAGTGATCACTTAGCATCTCTAATATCCCAAGGAGTGAGTGTAACAGGTACACACCTGTGTGTGACAGGTATCGCAAGGTGTCTGAAAACAGCCAGACTGGATGTGGCACTGGCGCAGTCCCGTCGAGGAGCTGAGTTTTGCAGCTGATACTATTCTCTGTGTCTTCTCACCGCCTTTGTTTTGGAAGCAAATGGTCCTCTAGCTGCATTGAATTGCCCGGCTACCTTGCATAGCCGGGATCTAATTACCTCTGGAGCTGGGAGCCCTGTCTCCAAGCCGCACTGAGGCTTTTGTTTTTAATGACTTGCTCCGACACGTTCAGAGTGTGACAATGTAGGGGAGCCTGCCAGGACGGGCTGCTGGTGCCACCATGCTCGTACTGCGATGGCTGCAGCCAGACTGGGAAAGCTAATAGGAGTCAGGATGTCTTGGGCCAAGCATCCGTGGCATGGTGCCGGGTCAAAAACAGAATAAATGGGTCTAGTGATGAGCACAACTCTCCACCATGTCCTGGGACGCAAGCTGGATTGCATCCTTCCCTATCATGATGCTTGGGCAGAGGGAAAGTGTGGCCAAATCCACCTGTTCAGCCCCAACCTGCAGCCCCCAGAAAGAGCGAGGAGCAGTGGGAAGTGGCACACAGCTGGGCTCTCACCTCCCTCCTGGTGCCACGAGCTATCTTGGGCCTCCTGTTAATGTTTACAAGGCAGGACCGGCGTCGTTGCGGTCTGTCCAAAGACCAGATCCCTCCCTGGCTCTCCTTGGGATCCTGCTTCCTGCTGGCCGGGGCAGGCCCGCAGGACGGTCGCAGGGAGGAAAAACCCAGCTCCTCACTGCCTCCGTAACACTATCGGCCCCGCTCTCCCTCCAGCCATCTCCGGCTCCGCTTCCCCGCTCGCGGGCGCAGGTACGCTGGGGTGAGCTCCTGGGACCTTGCCAGCATGCTGCCGCCCCGGGCATCTCCTCTTACAGGCGGCTCCTGCCAGGCGGAGGGGGGGGAAATTATTTTTAGGGCTGTTGATCTGACACCAGCTGAGTTTCCTCCCCTGTGAGGTTGAGGTTCGGGGAGAGGGCAGGAGAGGAAGCCACTGGGCGATCTCTTGCTTTGGTTTATTTTCTGTGTTTAATTGGACCGAGGTCATTCCCTACCACTCTTATCTGTGGCAGATATTTTCTTGCTTCTCACCAGTTCATGCTTACGATTTTTCCCCCAGGCGATAGTTACCCAGCAGCTAAAATCTTTGTTTATTAACAATGCACTGGGAAGCATCTATATTGTTAGAGCTCTGCTCACAGGTGGTTGCTTTCTTTTTTTAAAAAAAACACTATTGTTATAATTGGGAAAAAGCAGCTTTCCATAGATTAGCAGAAAGAGAGGCCAAACATGGTAGATCATGCATCTGTCAGCCTTGACATACGAAGCTGCCCTATAAATAAGAGCATATTATTAGGTTGGTCCTTGCTGTCTGGAGCCGCAGGGTACATGGTGGCCATACTCTCCAGCTACCCTCCGTGCCAGGAATGCTCGGCACCTTGGGGGGACCAGCTTTGAGGAGGACAGATCTGCTGGGGAGATGCCAGAGTGCTTCGGCATCCCCAAAGGGCAGCAGCTCTGCCTCCGGCACCACAGGCTTGCTCCCTTGGCTTAATTTGGGTGCAGGAGGGACCGCTGGCTGCCCTTCACATCTTGGGGCTTGGCACACCAAGACAGCCCCCATCCCGAAATGGCCGAGGCTGCCAAACGCCCTGGGTGATGCCAAACCTCCAGTTTCTTGGGCAACCCTGGGGTTTGCCCCCAGCGGGCCGCACACAAGGAAAGGAGCCAAATTTGGGAGGATCACTACAGGGATCCCAGTGTTTTCTGGGCTCCCAAGGAGGACATCAGTGTCCTGACCTCCCCCTCCCTCCCCCCGTTGGTAAGGGGGTCATTATTATCGTGGGTGAGGGATGAGTTTAATCCTTAAGTGTCTGGTTTCTGATGGAAAAGGGTCTTGAGCCACAAGTGTGAACTGACAGGGCCACAAGTGCAGGGAGATCTTTTCCTTTCAAGCAGGATGATGACCCCTGGTAAAACAAGAAAGAGCAAGGCTGGGAAGGACAAGTGGGTGTTTTGGAAGACAAGAGGATCTCATGTGCTTCCTCAGAGAAAAGAGGGTCTGCTCTTGAAGGACTTCTGCATTCTCCTGCTGGGAGAAGCAGACCCAGCCATGGTGCATAGGCTGATTTGGGTGAGGGACACCCTGAAAAGAGCTTGAGGAGGAGATAAACCTCACAGGAGGTTAGTCCATACTGTGTGGGCTGGGAAATCTGCTGGGACCTTCTCCTTCACCAGCTTACCTCAGTCCTGCCTTCCTTCACCACTCCCCTTACCTCTCCCTCCCTGCAGATGAGTAATGCCACGCATGCCTTGCCCTCTACCACGGCGTCCAGCACCCTTGGGCCTGGCACAGCAGCCAGGCTGGCCTCAGCCACCCCATCCTCAACCCTCACCCTGCTCATGGCCACCC